ATTAAATGAATACATTTTATTTCAAAACAAAATTAATTAAAGTACTAATTAGTAATAATTATAAGTATACATTGGAGAGCAAAAAATTGTGCCGTTATCAAATTAAATACAATAAAGAAATGTATGATATGTAATGTATTCATATTTTAAGTAATTATCAGTAATGTTTATATAAAGTAATTTTATAAAATAAAAACGGAAATTATTATTAGTTTATACATTTCAATAAATTTTATTTATTTTTCATTTCTTTTGCTAGTTCAGCATTTAAGTAATGCTGCAAATTAGTCACTCAAAGTACAGTTGCTATTATAAAATTGCAAGTAAGAATTGGTTTTTTGACTCAGTAAAGCCTCAGTAAAATTTCAAATATTTCTCAAATTCACATGTATTAAATGATTTTTTAGCAATAAAAATAGGAAAAAGCTCACCAGCGCAAGGCCAAGTCAAGCAAATTGAAAATGTAAACATTTAATAGCATTGTGTAAAACTCAATTTAGGTCAAAGTAGATACTACAATAACTGTTCTATTTTTTTTTTCTTTTGTTGTAGGGCTGACAGCGAGTGATAGGACGTATTTAAATGCTCAATCTAACACCCCCCGCGCTGCTATACAATTGCGCCTGCTAGCTATGGCATATTGCTTGATGTTTGAACGCCTCACCCTCACCCGCCCCCTTTCCCGCCGCCACCGTCTTCTCCTGTTATTTGTCCGTACAATAGTAGAGCACAATCGTCGGTGGCTGTTGGCCTACAATGTACGCAATGGCCGGAGACTATTTAGCGCTACTGCTGCAACCGTTAGCCCCTTCAATGMGAGTGCTGTTTGCGGTRCTGTTGTTGGCTGTTGTGACGCCAGTGTTGCTGGTGGTGCTTATATCGGAATGGTTTAAGTGACTGTTGGCATCTGCCGCAAARGCATACGGACTGGCGCCGGTGGTGGTGCTGGGACTACAGCTGGCCGCAAACATACAGTCATCAGCATTTTGTTGCTGTTGCTGTTGTTGTTGTGTTGACTCATTGCCCACCGTCGCCTCGTGTTCAGCCAACACTTGTTGCTCGTGCTGCTCAACAACACTATCCACCGCCATTGGCGTGCCGGCCATTTCATCATCAACTTCACCATGTGCTTCAGCTGTTTGTACATCATGCATATCTTGTTCCTCCTGCTCATCTTCAAGCAGCTGCTCCAGCTCTTGCTGTTCGCGTATCGCTTGCGCTTGTGGTTGTTCAATTTCGATTTGCGACTGCTGCTGTTGCTGCTGCTGCTGCTGCTGCTGCTCCAACACARTCTCCTCTTCATGCGCCTCCTCATCCTCTTCTTCGTTATAGTCGGACACTGGTTGTTGGTGTTCGGCCTCAACGCCGGCTGGCAGYTGGACGGCACCGTCGGACATAAAAACGCCCAAAGGCATATGGCTCTCCAAGTGCGCTGTGGAGAATGCAAAGAATATGCTTTTAGTAATTATGAAATTCAATTACAATTAGAAGCAGAAATGTGTATAAATAAAGATAAGGCTGACGAATAGCTAAGCTAGGCAAAAAAATGCAATGCGTGTACACACGTACATACATGTGTATATGTATGTCTATAAAAGTCGGTGGTATGTGTGTGGGCAGCAGTAAGCAGTAAGTGTAGTAGGACCACAAAACGGATTAATTAAGCGCTTAAACTACAAAATTGAATAAACAACAGCATGAAAAAGATGAATACTAGGTGCATATGGGTGTATGTGTGCAYGTATGGTGGCAATCGAACAGCTGGAAATAGCTTCTAAATACTAGTGCTTATTGATAAGCATTTAAGCATGTAAACATGTGCTTAGCAGCTCCAGCTGGCTGCATTAAATGCTAAATATAAATTGTATCGCGGATTATCCTGCCTAAATTATAGGTTATGTGCGCTGCAGCTAAATGTGGGCAAGTCAAAGTTGTAAGTGGATGTTGCGAATTCAAGCCCATATAACATAATTGTGTGGCAATCACACACAGCGAGCAATTATGGACTTCGAAATAACTTTGGAATGATTAAAATAATGGAAAAGATGTGAAAATAAAGGTAAATAAAGGTAAATAAACGATATTGTTAAGTGAATATGATTAAAAAAAATAAAGATAATAAAAAAAACATTACAAAAAGAAAAAAAAAACAGAAAAAACGTTAACTTTGCCTTCGCAGGTTCAAGTTTTCTTACAAGAAATTGATTATCACCAGTCAGTTTGTGTGGCAGCTTTGTGTTATGGAAGGCCAATTTTAATAATTTTTTCAGATATTGTACGGCTGTCTTGARCAATAATCTATACCAAATTTCTYGAAGATATCTCTTCAAATAGAAAAGCTTTCCATACAAGGACTTKATTTTAAGCGTTTAGTTTATATGGCAGCTATATGTTATAAAACTCCAATCTTAATAACTTGTTCGGAGATTATACCTTTGCTTTAGGTAGCAATTCATGCCAAATTTCGTATAGATATCTCTTTAAACACAAAAGTTTTCCATACAAAAACTTGATTCTGATCAATCAGTTTGTWTGGGAGCTATATGTTGTAACAGTCCGATCTCAATAATTTCTTCGGAAATTAAAACCWCTTCTTAGTGAATAATCCATGCCGAATTTYGTGTAGATATCTCTTGARAAACAACAGTTTTCCATAACACAAGGGCTTAATTTTGATCGGTTAGTTTATATGGCAGCTATATGCTATAGTGGTCCGATCTGAACTATTTCTGCAGAGATTGTGGTCTTACTTTGGGCAATAAACTATGTTGAATTTGGTAAAGATATCTCTTCAAATACAAAAGTTTTCTATACAAGGATTTGATTTTGATCAATCAGTTTATATGCCAGCTATATGCKATAGTGGTCCGATAACAGCRGTTCCGATCAATAAGCAGCTTCCTGAAGAAAAAAGAACGTGCGCAAAATTACTGGTCGATATCTCAAAAACTAGAGACTATAGACAAAGATAGACGAACGAACATGGCGAAAACGACTCAACTCGTCACACAGATCATTTAGATATACAAATGTATATACRTACATATGTATATGTACTCCGACGTTCGCTCGGAGTGTTACAAACTTCTTAGGCAAACTTTATGTGTATTAAATCTATCAAAAGCTAAAAGTATTGTTCGACTTGACTATTTGGCTATTATTCATTATTAATTACATCAGATTAGATAATGAAAATTACTTACTAATCAACAGAACTTTTGCTTGCTGCCTTTAATAGTACTCAAAATTTGCTTAACTTCAAACACAGATTGCAAAAATTAACAAAAAAAAAAAAAATCAGCGCCTAAAAGTATGCTATCGTCCATGTCATTTTGTAGGAAATTTACAACTCGCCACCAAAGTAGTAAAGTTTATAGAGGCTATTACTAACTTGCATTGAGCACGGAGTTCAGTAGCTAACTATTTCTTACTAAATTATGTAATCTGACCATAAAACAGTTCTTTTCTAGTTGGCAGATACTAGGATATTRAGCAAATACCCCTCCGGTGTGTTTTCGATAAATAACTGCTTGATTTTACTTTACAGCTTTCTCTATCATTGCATAATGAAAACAAACACAAATGTGCCGCACAAACAAAACATAACAGTAATCACATTGAAAGCCATGGATGAACTCACACCCAAGTCCTTTTCAAAATCAACCGTTAAGATATTGTCGAATTTCTTTAATTGCAAATATTACCAACACTAACTAGGGTGCGAGTGCTGTAAGCATAGTAAACAACAACTACAAACGACCTTCGCATTATTTAGTGGCGGCGGAATGCCTTTTATCCCTTTGGATATTAAACAAATAGTTTGCTAATGAAGAGATAAAAGACAAAGCTCCAAAAGAGTGACAAATGGCTATGAAGCTCTTTGCTAATGTGCAACATTTTTGTTTCGGGCACGAATATACACAAACAACAAAAGCAGAAAAAAAAAACAAAAACCATTGAAGCACAATGCTCTGTGGAGCGAGGAAGCGTCATTAAGTTTCACGAAAATACAAATAAGTAACGGCAGCTAAAGTATGAATGTGTGTGTATGTGTGTGTGAGAAGGGAAAAAGCATAATCAAGGATCAGTGTTTACACGCCAACGCTACAAAGCACGTAATTACAATTACACATGCCGAGCGCTGCGCTGCGGAGCGTGATGAACGGCGCAAGGAAGCAAGCAGCTGCTTAAGCAGGAGACAAGCGGCGGTGGATAGGCGACAGGAGACAGTTAACGCCAAATGACAGACAGCAGACATTAGACAGCAATGGAAAAGGACTTGTCAAGCGATTTTCAGCGTTACTGTGTGTGTGTGTTTGTGCGGAGTGTGACTCTCGGCAGCTGTATTTGAAACCGCACACACGCTGAAAATCTCAACTTCATCAATGGAATGCTGACGTATACGAGCTAGCGCYCGATTCAGACAGCGAGTGTGCGCGAACACCGGTGAGGTTATGTTTGATGAGTCCTTCGATGGGTTTGTTGCGATAACTGCACAGCAGGCGGTGTATAGTTGATTACTTTTGCTTGTGTGTGTGTCAACTGATGATCGATCGTTAAGCGATCCTGCCAATTTGCGCGCTACGCTCAAATCAYTGTGGAGGTCTTCTTTTAACTAATGTATGCGTTTTTTGTTTTTGCTTTTGCAAATTACGGCGTGCCGTGAAATTGGCGTGAAGTAAGTTGGCAAACACACTAAATTATCATTCACTWCCATTTCACAACATTGTCMGCCGCTGAGCAWTTGTTGATTAGTATCACAACACCTTTTTTCCATTATTTTTGCTTTTGTTTTTGCTGTGCCAGCGCTTTGTTTAGCTGAAATTGCCAATGTCTAACAAATAAATGTGGTGTGTGTGGCGGTCCGAAGACGTTCATTCTTTCTAAAAAATTACAGCTGACATTAGGCTTCTGTTATTCTGTGTGTCGCCTGTCACTTACAGGTGACCGACCACGTGACTGCTGCAAGAAAATTACAAATTCACAGCGCATTCGCATAGATCCTTGCGTCAGGAAATAAGCATTCTGTTAGGCATAACGAATGCGGCATAACTCATTGAGGCGAGTGACGGATCTCGGCAGCTGTTAGAAAGCGCAACCGCAAGGATCCCTACTCGCTTCTCGGAGGAACCGCTAACCGCTGTAATAGACCAAGTGCAGCTGCGCACCGTTTGSCTGCACTGCTGGCATAATTCATAGTCTGACGTTAAGAAATGCGCTGGTTTGAGCTTTAAAAAAGTCTCACGTACAAACAGAGATCGTAAAAGTGTGGTGGCATTCGAAATATTAACTATATATTTTTTAAAGGTGTAAATTTGAGGCGTGAGCTGCCTGCCTGTTGGCTAAAAGACAGCTGATGCTGSCAAATGACAACAATAACAATAAGTATGCTGAAGCAAAGCTATACAAAYAGTAATAATAAACAGTAGTTGCCATCGGCTTGCAATTGTTGTTGGCTTGAGGTGCAAAGGTGCGAGTCTAATAGCGAAGGTGCTTGAAATTGAGCGATAATGTGGTTAGAATATTAAAAGTTAAGGATAACATGCATATGCCTTTTATTTAATGCAGTATTGAAAAAATGACAAAAAGAAGGAATTTTAAGAAAAATAAAATTAATTAATCAAATAAAAA